CCGAAAACGACCGAACCCGGGAAGTTCGGGCTCGGTGCATGCCTAACTCTTATAGTAAACTGCCAAGAACCCGTGCATGCGCGTATGGTTGGACGTGTCGAAGAGATCGTGGTTGTATTGAAGATTTTTAAGTAACACCCACAGCACACCTTCATCCAACATCCCTACTCCAACTCTACATCCGTGCACACGGACCTACTCACACAAAAAACTCATGTGAAAATAGTGGAGGTAAGGGCTCTAAGTTCATCTTTAACAATTTCGTAACCGTCGGGAAATGCTTGATTTGGGTGACGAAAACAAACGACCGTGCTGCATGCATGGGTTCTTGGCAGTTTACTATAAGAGTTAGGCATGCACCGAGCCCGAACTTCCCGGGTTCGGTCGTTTTCGGTACCTAAAACATTAGATTTAGTGATTCATGTACTTTGGTCTGCATTAGGCATCCTTAGAAGCCAGGTATAACCGAACCCGGGAGCGACCGAACCCCGGGAATACCGAGCCCGGGATTCCCGGTCTGTACCCGGATTCGGTGCATGTCTAATAAGAGTGTAGCTTACAAAAAGAGATGATAATGCTTTTTTCTTTTTATAATCTAATTGGTTGGTTTGAAAATCGCCAAACTTTCAGGCTTCTCATAGTAAGTGCTTGAAACGCCTTTTGGAAAAGCAATACTATTGCTAGCGTCAGTGAGGATACAAACTGACGCTAAACGAAGATTACGATAGTCCTTCTAGTATAACTCTCTAAGAACATCTGCCTGGATAGCAGAAGGTGTGGGCTCGAGTTAGACGAAGGTCATCTTTTTCTTCGTTCTGCCACGTAGAATCAATGACACTGTTAGTTCTTTCGTTCTATATATGTAAGAGGTAACAGCTGTTTGAACGAATATTTATTTAAAACTAAGGTGGTGATCCTAGCAAGGCATTGCAAAGTCGTAGTATTGAAAAATTCAATCGATCGGGTGAGAGTTTCATGTTTTTTGACATGTCAGAAAAAGAGGTTTTATGCGTTTACTGAAAATTCTGAGACGAAATTTCGTTCGATTTGTTTGCATAAAACGCATGCTTTGCATTCGACTCGACGTGATAGAAGATTGAAAAGTATGAAGAATGTTGCTGTTTAAAATCGGAATAGCACAGATAAGGTACACAAAAAGGTTCTCAGAATTTTCGTTGTTATCTTGATAGAGAAATTTTTCAGCACTTTTTCTATATATTGTGTCGGTTGACTTCTAAGACTTAAGCAACCTACTCAACAGTTACTAGTTATTCTTCAAAAAAAGCGACTTAAAATGTTTTTAAATGGTACATTTGAAAAATGACCTACCTGCACACGTGTATCCTAGGAAGTGCAAGCCATTATGCCCTGCTATATGAACATCTTAATTGTTCATAGCCACCAAGAAGAAAGAATGCTGCTCACCGACGATACTTGATAGTTTTTGAATGATTTTACTTCAATTTGCTCGGATCTAACTCACCATGCAAATAAAGCGAAGTCTAGGGAGACGGTCATACCTGATGGTCAGAGTCGATCCGCGTTTCAATAGTCAGTCCGTCACGCTTCTCGTTGTCTTACATCACTAGAAGAACTTCATCACAAAAAGCAGATGTGGTGCTACGATTTCTTTTACTATTATACATACAGCCAATATCGCTTGTAGAAATATCGGATGCCTTGCTACAAGCATCACCTACACTAAAAAAAAGGTCTTTTTCAGTTTTGTAGAAAATTGTTTCGCATCAAACCGATTCTGGACAACTGTAGAAAAGGTTCCGCATAAGAGTTGCGTATGTAACCTTTTTTAGAAACTAGAAAAATGTTTCATGCCAGCGGTTTCGTATCCAACCTTTTCAGACTATAGATAATTACTTTTCGTACATAAGTGTCGCACCCATCCATTCCCCTATACCATGATACTTATGTACGTACTCCTATACCCTCATACATATTACCTCACCTCTCTACCGTTAAACCTATACCTTTGCGTGCATAACCACATAATTGCATATAATTTTACCTATACACTCTAAAAAACGTTTCCTGAAAACGTTCCAAAATGGGTTTCCTACCGTTCGGAAATCAAAATAGGTTTTCGGACAATCTAAATACTGTTTCGGAGTGATCTCGGAAACCTTTAAAAGGTTTTTGGAAGAGATAAATGAGTTACCAAACTGCGGAAACCTTTAAAGAGTTTCATAAGGTGATGGAATCGGAAACGTTGAAGCATTTCAAAAAGAAAGTGATCCGTTGCTGAGGATCTGGAAACCGTATCACTGGTTCCGAAACCGCTCAGTGTTTCCAATTTTATCACTTTCTGAAACTCTTTAAACGTTTTCGCAGTTTGGCGACCCTTTTTTTGCCAGTAGTGTCAAACTTGAAACTTGAATTCAATTATTGAAAAGTTGTTTCAAGTATTCAAGTATTCAATTATTGAATACTTGAAGTTCAAGTATTCATGTATTGAATAATTGAATAGTTGAATACTTGAATAGTTGAACTTCAAGTATTCGAGTTTCAATAATTGAATAGTTGAACTTCAAGTATTCGAGTTTCAATAATTGAATACTTGAATTCAAGTTTCAAGTTTGACATATATGAACATCTGACAGCAAAAAAGACTGAAAACGTCAAAATTAAGATTGAGAAAGTACTAGAATTGATCAGTTCATATTAAAAAATTTGTTAACTCCAAAAAGATAAATTTTTAAAATTTTAGTTTAAAATAATTCAAAATTTATCCTTCAATTCCATATATATAGGCATTCTATTATTATACTGTTAAATGTAAGTTTGATCCAACAGGATCAGGTAAGTTAAATCAAAAGTCCCAAGTTCGAATCTGTTCATCAGTGAAATAAAAAAATATTCCTTGTCAAAAACGCATTCAATGAAAAAGAAACCCCGTTTTGGCTTAGGAAAACGCTCTTTGTATAAAGCGTTCGGAATTTGCTTTTTACGTTATTCATTAATAAGAATACGTTTCGCCGCATTCAGAAAAGTGCGTTTAAAGTCAAGCGAAAACGTTCTAACTGAAAAAAGATGCGTTGAAACACTGTTTTATACAAACTTTTTTTTCGAAGGCGCTTATAGCTACACCCTTATAATTGTATCTAGGTATACAACTAACAGGGGAAAAGTATACTTCTGTACTTCTTTGTACTTCTCCATACTTCTTCGTACTTTTTCGTATTTCATCATACTTCGTCATACTTCTGCGTACGTCTTCCTTCTTTCAAATACTTCTTCATAGTTGTCGATGTGTATACTTTCTTCTATATAGATTTAGGTAGTTTTTTACTCAAGAACTAGGAGAAATATAGTTGTTATGATATAGAGTTTTATTTAAAAAAGTTAATAAACAAATAATAAAAGCACAACATATAAGAGATGACGCAGTATCAGTTCTCTTTCTACTAGTACTTTTTGCAATAACATATTCAAAGAGAAGCAACGTCATGTTATTTCTCTTTTTCGTAATAACTAACAAAGATCAGGAAAATATATACGCAGAAAGAGGACTGCTATTTGTTTGAACTATGTTAAAAATTAAAGAAGAATGCAGGACACTTAATCGAAACAAATACTAATATTCATAAAAGATAACAACATCAATGCATGTTAATAAAACAGACAATATGAAATGAATCAAAGTAATCTATCATTGATAATAAACAAAAATATTAAACAAAACAAAGTTTTTATGATATATATTTTCGTCTTTTTTTAACGAATGTCAACATGTGTTGCTTTTGCTGAATTTTTTAAACTTAAAGTTGTTGTTGGTTGTGATGACGATGTGTTTGGCGAAAGTTTTGGTGTTAATGTTATTGAACTAGTAATAGTTTGTTGTGTTGGTATTTGTCCTGGTTCTAACAGAACTATTTCATTGATTTTCTTTTGCATGTAAACAATTAGAATCCGTTAAATGTTTATAAAAATTAGATAGCTGTAGTTTTCCATCCTTTTTTAGGTAATTTTGTGAATACTTCACAATTATATAATATCGTTACATCAATATCATCATTAAAATTTACCATATTTAGACCGTAATTAACATCATCTGTAAAATCCACATTATCTAATTTCAGATTTTCTTTATTATGAGAATACCATTGGTTTAACAATTGATATTGTTTGCGATCATTAAGTGAAATTTGTGAAACACGTATAGATGTTGGTAATGATGCTACTTCATTTGTTTCTGGTGATGCATTTGTTGTGACCAGTACTAAATTGATATTTGATGTTGTTGATACCCTATGATCTTTTCGTCTTGACTGTTCTTTAAGCTTATCTTCTGTTAATTTAATCATAATCTTTTTAAAACAATCGAAACCATTTATAATGCCAGATCGCACTAATAACTTTCGGTCTCTCAATTTCAAAACATAATTCTTCTTTTAAATCATCTAATTCTTTACAATCAATATCGAGTTCTAATGCATCACAAATATCATCTGTCATTAGGAAAACTTGTCATGGAACTCATTTTCTGAGCTTCAAGTAAACGTGATTGATAATAACCTAATCGATTTTTAATAATATCATAAAACTCTCCATCGGTTAAAAATAATGCATCTGATGATAAATTATTATTCATAATAGTGCTAGATGTGCTATAATATATTAAATGAAACAGCTTTATCCACACACAAGAATAGCTTGTAAAGAAATGTTGCTATAATGAAAAATAAACATTATTCGAGATGCATACCTATATTTCTTTTAGTTAACTAGAATTATAATTAGATAATTAAAGAACCATTCAGAAAAATACCTTTTTCTTTCTTTTCTTGATTGGAAATGTTGTTGTTTCTATAAAAAAACGGCAACAATATCTAAGTGAATATACTGAAATAGACCATTATTGTAATCGATTACAAGAGTGCTTCATTTTATACTGCACAGTCGAAGACTGTACATCAAATCTCTATATATACTTTAGTTTAAATGTTTGCAATAGTTGTTACTATTCGATAATCGAAAATTTCAAACCCTCTTCAAGAATATGATTTCTTTTATTAAAAGAATTATCATATAACAAATATTATGAATATTCTAGATGGGGAAGGGACATTTCGCACCAACTTTTCATTACGATCTCCAGTAGAATATGTTTTTTACGATCTCCGGACATAAGAAAAAAGACAGGGTGTTTGGAATTAAGCAGACGGGAGTTCGGAATGACAAAAATCAATCAAGAATAAAAAATAACAGAATGTTTGTAATGAAAGTTGTTCAGAAGATCGTAACGAACAACGAATATTGATTTTTAGAGAAAAAAAAGTGAAATTTGACCGGCATTTGGCATGAAAATGATGGAAGATCGTAACAATAAAAACAGGATGTTGGAAACTGTGTTCATGTTTGCTGTTTTTTAAGATATGTTAAACAATTTACTAGTTTTTATTCTAAGATAGTACACAAACGACGGATGAGAATGTGAGAGTGAAGGTGAGGATCAGTAAATAGAAGACGTCACCCTCACCTACATCCTCGCACCCTCCCTCATCTAGCCAATAATTTTTGAACGTAGAGACTTTTAATTATATAGTACTTCATTTCCCCAGAGATTACTGCTTTCAATTATCAACATTATGAATAGTTTAAAGCACAAAAGTCAGAAACATCTTGTACAGTTATTATAGCATTATATGTAGAGACAGAGAAAGGTAGATGTTGTTTATATAATTACGAAGGTATTGTATGAATTGTTCTTGATTTTATAAAAAAAAGAAAGAAAAGTCTCTATGACCGTTGCGAATATCAGAATAAATCAGTTACGATCTCCTAGTAAATTGGATCATGAATATTCCGTCTTTTTCGTCCCGATTCTTAAACATTACTCCGCATATAGTAACGATCATTCCATTCTGAATTCCCAGTAACGCCTTTCCGATCTCCCTGTGTTTTCGACTACGATCTCCTGTTCAAAAAGGATTACGAACTCCCGTCGAATATTTGCTTCGGCAAAAAGTCATTTCCGAACACCCGGACATATGTCCGGAGTTTGGAATGACTTGGTGCGAAATGTCCGTCACCCTTCTAGATCACGTAAACTTAGATCTATCACTTGATATAAATATTAGAACCAACGACAACATGAGTCTCAGGACGTCTTTATTATGAAACAACATTTTTACTTTGAAAAATGATGAATTTTTTCAAATCATGAAGTCATTAGTTGAAGAAGGGCTTTGTGAAATTCTGAAAGTATACTCAATTCATTCAGCGGAAAATCTAATGATCACCGATGATGTTTTTGATGTTTTTAAATACGATTCACAAGAGTTAATCGATATTAAAAATGGACAATTTCTTGTTAAAACAGGAAGGAAAAATAGTTTTATATATATATGTCGTAGGACAAATTAAAATCTAGTTCAGTTTTAAATCGAACTAGGACAGATTGAAATTTTGATTCTTCCTAGTTCAGATTAAAATTTTGAAGTCAACTAGTTCACTTCACAATCATTTCAATGTCAACTAGTTAACTTCAAAATTTTAATCTGAACTAGGAAGAATTAAAATATTTTAAACT